CTGCATTGTAATTGCTGAATTGCTTTGTTTCTTTTATTCTGTATTGCCAGTACCCAGCACAGTAACTAGTAATAAGACGAAAGAGATCAGTGCTATGGCCTTCCCCTTTTGAATTTTTTCACTTGTCATCAATATATACTAGTGACACTGGGAAGGGTAGATGTTACATGTTACACACTGAGAGACAGAAGCCTTCAGAAAGTTAAGTGAGCTGCCCAAGGTAATAATGAATCTCTGACATCTTCCACTGTTGTTCTGCTCATGTGGTTCCTCCTTGGAGGTAGTTTTTTGGTTTGTTTTGTTTTTGTCTTAGAGATTTTCAAAGAACATGTGAAATGATACGATACTTTATTAGAGGAAGAACAGCTATGCCATGCTCATCTCTACTTCTGAACCTTTGCTATTTTTCCCGTTTGGCGTACCCTGCTCCTTTCCCCTTATTGCAAACTTACAAATTCTTTATGGCATGGCTCATGTCTTTAAGGTTTCTGAAATGATAGCAGCCGGCATTTCTGTCTGCTCTAGCTAAATATCTATCTATCTATAGTCTACACCGTTAGTCTCCAAAGTGGGTGTGCAGTACAATCTGTTGTGAGAAAAAACGTCTTTACCTTCGTCTACTTCCCTTCTGACCTACATGCCACCATTAACTCTTCTTTTTTATTTTATAAACCTCAGGTTGTTTAGAATCAGCCACATCATTTTTAAGTTATTATATTTTTTTACCATTCCTTCTTCCATCTCAGACTTTCCTTCGGGCATCATTTTCCCTTTTCCTCATGAACATCTTTGAAGTTCTTTTGGTGAAGGATTGTCAGTCATAAACTTTCTTTTTTAAACCTGAAAATAATTTTGCCCTTATTCTTTTTTTTATCCCCCTGAGGAAGATTAGCCCCGAGCTAACATCTACCAATCCTCCTCTTTTTTCTGAGGAAGACTGGTCCTGAGCTAACATCGGTGCCATCTTCCTGTACTTTATATGTGGGACGCCTACCACAGCATGGCTTGCCACCCGGTGCCATGTCTGCACCCAGGATCTGAACTGGTGAACCCCGGGCCGCCGAAGCAGAACATGCGCACTTAACTGCTGTGCCACTGGGCTTGCCCCCTGCTCTTATTCTTGAAAGATAGCTTTGCTCAGTCTCCATTTCTTAGTTGATGGTTATTTTCTTTCTCTCCTCAGAAGGTAATATTCCATTGTCTACTGATTTCCATTGTTTTGGTTCGGAAGTCATCTGCCTGTAGGTAGGCAATCTTTTCTGTCTCTTTTTAAGATTCTCTCTTTTTCTTAGGTGTTGTATTTTCACTACAGTTGTGTTTAGGTATGGATTTCTTTCTTTTTTTTTTTTCCTGCTTGCTTTCTATGTCTGTGCATTCATATTTTTCATTAGTTCTGGACTTTTATCAACTGTTCTCTTTTTGGATGTTGCTGTGCTTCTGGTCTCTTTAGAGTTTTGTTGTGGGACTCTGAGTAGATTGTTAGACCTTGACTCTCCCATATGCATTAACTTGTCATTAATTTTTCCCGCAAGTTCATTGCCTCTCTGTGCTATGAACTGTTTAATCTTTCTCAGCCTTTGCTATTATGTGCAACACTCTCAAATTTAGAATAATCTCTGAATTTCCTTATTGAGCTTTTTTTCCCCCTCTCTCTTAGAAAATCCTTAAGGTTTGACCACCACATTCATGCTGTTTATTTCTAGACTTGAAAGTGCCAGGTTCACAGTAGAAGCTCAGTATATGCTTGGAGACAAATATCCTGTCCAGATTTATTATTCCCTCTGCACACCCTCCCTTTAAACAGGCGACCATATTGTTATATGTGTTTTATGATAATTTTATTGTTTTTTCGTCCTTCTTTCCCAGTCAATTTGAATTAATGTTGCAAGTAAGATTTTATAAGATATGATCATGAGATAAAATGTTTTCTTCATCATTAGTCAACATTTACTGGCTGTGGTGCCCTGGAGCTGCCTCCTACAGCTTGCCAGGACTAACTAACTATTCAAGAAATTTGTAAGCCAGTTGTTTCGCTTTGGTATCTTGAAATCTGCCACAATGAGAATACTTACACTCTAAAAATCAGCGAACACTACAAATTAGGATTTACCCTTCCTATCCCTCCTCAAACCAGTTGTTAAATATTTACCAGCACACCACTGACTGTGATCAAAGTAATTTAAAAAATAGATTCTTAACTTTTTGTGTTTTCTTAATACAGACCTTTAAAAAAAAAGTGTCAAATACATGATCTTATACATAGAAAACCCCAAAGAATCCACAGAAAAACTATTAGAAATAATCAACAACTACAGCAAAGTAGCAGGGTATAAAATTAACGTGCATAAATCAGTAGCATTTCTATACACTAACAATAAACTAACAGAAAAAGAACTCAAGAACTCTATCCCATTCACAATCGCAACGAAAAGAATAAAATACCTTGGGATAAACTTAACCAAGGAAGTGAAGGATCTATACAATGAAAACTACAAGACTCTCTTGAAAGAAATAGGCGATGACATAAAGAGATGGAAAGACATCCCTTGCACATGGATTGGGAGGAATAAACATAGTTAAAATGGTGCATACTACCTAAAGCAATATACAGGGTTCAATGGCTATCCCCAATTCAGGATCCCAAGAACCATTCTTCACAGAAATTGGAACAAACAATCCGGGCCATGGCTGAAGGTGAACTCGCGCCTCCAATCAGCGGCCGGCGAGCGCGGCGCGGGGCCGGCGGCCGCGGCCCTGACAGCGCGCCCGCGCCCCGCCTCAGGTGTGCGGCGCCGCCCGGCCGAGCCGCAGCCACGCGCGCGGGGCCCAGCGGCCGCGGCGCCCCCGCTCCCGGCGCTCCCGGCGCTCCCGGCGCCCCCGGCGCGCCAGCCCGCCTCGCTCCGCGCGGTCCCCGCCGCCGCAGCCGGGAGGAGCGGCCGAGCCGGCTGCGCGCGGAGCGGCGGGCGCGGCACGCAGCGCCCAGAGGCACTTGGCGGCCGCCGCCGGGTGGGCGGGCGCCAGGCGAGGGGCCTCTCCATTCATTCCCTCATTAGGGATGCGGGGCCGCCTCCTCCGCCTCCTCCCGCGCTCCGGGCCGCCGGGGCCCGTGTTTATTCTCGTTTCTGGGCCCCCCGCGGAGCACGGGCGTCTGAGAGCCTCTGGTGGTTTTTATTTTTATTCGTGTTTGGGTTTTGCCGGGCGGAGGTGAGAGGGCGCTGATGCAGTGCGGGGGCCCTTTTTGTCTGTTTCCCTGGGAAGATCTGGGCACGATCCTACCCGGGAGCCTACACCGCCTGTCTCCCACCTCGGGACTTTTCCCATTCTTAGAGTCGTCTTCTCCTGCGCCCCCGTTTCCAAGCTTTTTCGATTCGTGTCCTCCCCCGAGCCCTCTCTCAGTCGCCTTCTCCAGGGAAGCTTGGGTTCAGGTCACCCTAAGAGTTGGGCAAAGCGCACAAAAGCCCCAAGAAGCGTCCGCAGCCTCGCGGGGGCTGCTCGAGAATCCTTCGTGCGAGGGCCTCAGGCCAGGCGGCTGGCGAGGTGGCCCGACCGCGCGGCCGCCCCGGGAATGGGGCCGGCGGAAGACGTCGCCTGGCGCCCACCGCAGCACCCCCTGAGTGGGTGAGACCCCGGAGTCACAACGTCTACACTGGCTGATCGTCACTTCCTGGGACACAAGGAAGTGTCACTTGGGCGAGTTTGTTTAAGGAGGGAGGAGGGCTGATTTGGGCCCTGTCCTACTCCTCCAGGTGTCTTCCTCACCCTTCCACCCGCCTGCCACTCCTTACATCCTGCAGACATCCCTACATAATGCATCGTCCAGGGCCCATTAGTCCCTAAAAAGCAATGCTGCTGCTTTCTTTCTGATTTGAGAGCTTATGTTTTGCACACAGCCTCTGGGACAAAAACCTTACCATCTCTCTCTATTCCTCTTCTTTCTAATATTTCTTTTTCACATCCTTTCATGGGTGGGCAGAAAGATAAAAGCGGCAATAGATAGAAAAGGATAGATCCGATTTTTGAGCTACTTCCCATCCATTTGAAGGCAGCATCCTTGCACCAGATGGTTTTTATCCTGACTCATTAAAGGTTGTTTCTGAAAAGTTAACACTTGACCCTTAAAACGTTTCAAAAGACCTAAAAATAGCAAATACAAAGATTGTCTGAGAAAAAAATTCCCACCCAGTAAATATTCACTTCTAGAACAGCATCTACGTATTTATTTCTTTAGCATTTCGTCTTGTAAACACTTCTCAATTTCACAAAGCAAATAAAATCACAAGATCCCTTTGGTGTTCATCACCTTCCTCAAACAGAATTCAGGCTTTGGAACTGCAAGGCTGCCTCCTGAATTATGGTGTGCAACTGGGAATGCCAAGCTTTTACAGTCCCTCTGCAGAAATCCTGAATCACCAAGATGTATTGAAGTTGCCAGGGCAGAAACTTGTAGTTTTCTGATCAACTGGAGCCACTGCTGCCTATAGGGGCTGCTAATAGAGTGTCAGCGTTTCCACAGTGTCACCCTTGACTGCTACAGCCACTCAAGAGTACCTGTGTTACAATAGTAATCGTGTTAACATGGGAATTAACAACTGTCTGTGAAAAGGTGTTCAACCCCATCAGAATATGAATCATTCCTTCAACTGGTAGCTTGGATTTTGCTTTTCAATGCCCAATCACACAGTATCTAAGTCTTTATCTTGTGGTGACCCAGACAGGCATATTTATTTCCATTTTAAAAAGTCTACT